TTATGGAAAAGAGAAGACAGAGGGGACATGATAATAGCTTTCAAGTACCTAAAAATTATTACTGGGAGAAGGGAGAAAAATTATTCTCGTTTATCTCTGATGATAGGACAAGAAGCAATGACCTTAAATTGCAGCAGGGGCGGTTTAGGTTGGACATTAGGAAAAACTTCCTAACTGTCAGGGTGGTTAAACACTGGAATAAATTGCCTACAGAGGAATTTATGGAATCTCCATCATTAGAAATTTTTTAAGAGCAGACTAGACACAAACTTGTCAGTGATGGTCTAGAAACGGTGCTTGGTCCTGGTAGGAGTGCAAGGGACTGGACCTGATGACCTCTTGGGTTCCTTCCAAGTTGATTCTAAGATTAACCTGTGGTACTCACTTCCACCGCATGGTAGTATTAATTTGTACTTAGCAGCAGACATTTATACAGGTGAGAACCTCCACAATTATATTAAACAGAATAAACCATTTTAGAAGAGATAGAAGCTAACTGCCTTGGGTGAGAAGGTCATTCCAAAACAGTCCACTCTAGAGCAGTAGTTCCCAACCGTCGGTCAGCAGACCAGTGCCGAGGCGCAAACTGCGGCACACTGCCAAGCCACACTCATGCCGGGTAGACACACACTGTCCCTTCCAATTCCGCTCCTGGGCCACAAGACAACACTGAGCCCCGCAGGCTGCCCCAAGCAGTGCTGGCTCCTCTGGGGTTGTAGACTGCCCAAGGCAGTGCTGTGGCTAGAACAGAGCCCCAGTGGCATCTGTCTCGTTGCCCACTTCTCCCCCTCCACCGGACATGGAAGGAAGGTGCTGCTGTCCATGAGGAATGGAGGAGGTAGCCACGCCTGAGCTGCCCTGGGCCAGGCAGAAGAGGGAGGCTGGGCACTGACTGGCAGGGAGAAGGGGACAGAATGGTGGTTAGAAGAAGCTTTGCTCTGGCACGTGGTATTGCGCTCCCGCCGCCCAGCTTCAGGGTGCTGATGGTGACGAGCCGGCCGGAAACACCTGCATGGCAGGCATGGGGAGATGGGGCGGCCTCGCATGGTAGCTATTGCGCCAGCTGCGGCATTGCCGAGATAGTCAGTGTGTCTGACGGGGATCAAGGGGAAGCAAGGTGCCAAGGCCTAGCTTGTTTGGGGCCGGCAAGCCCTCTTCCCCAGAAACACTCATGCACCTGTGAACACCCTGTTGAAAGCAGTGCACAGCCTCATGCTAGCCCTTTCGGCAGCTTCCCCAGATGCTGCAGAAAGCAGTGCCAGGGTGGCTGAGAGTGGAAGCCGCCGGGCCCAGGGCTGAGCCATCCTTTGCGGGAGACGTTTTGGCAAACAGTAAATTTCCTGCCAAACTCGTCATTTGGGGGGCACCCAAACCTGTCACAAATGTTGGAGCGAAACAAACAAAACAATCAGCCCTAAAAACAAAGTGTTTGGCCGTGTTAAAATGATTCGGTATTGCAAGTGTTGAAACAAACTATTTTGACATCTCACCTTTGGTCAGTGTCTTCTGCAGATATCTGCAAACTCTCATCTATTGTGTGTGTACAGATGTGATGTAAAATAACATGTGGCCTCTTCAAATTAATTACCATAATGAATATGCAAATAAAATGTTACCAGTCCTCCAAAAGTTTGTGAATGGGTTTGCCAGTGTGCAGTATAAAAAGGTTGGGAACTACTGATCTGAGGAAGTGGGTCTGGCCCACGAAAGCTCATCATCTAATAAACCATCTTGTTAGTCTTTAAAGTGCTACATTGTCCTGCATTTTGCTTCAACTACCCCAGACTAACACGGCTACATTTCTATCACTGCTCTAATATCCTGCACCTTCCTGTGATTTCAGAGACAGGACACGAGGCTAAATGAACCACTGAATGCTCTGAATCAATCTGTCAATTCCTAATTTGGGCCTTTAATTGACTTTTTAAAGTTTGTAAGAATTACTGACATTATTCTCTCTTGGCACTTGTAATGGAAATAAGCTGTGTACCAGTACATGACAAGGTCATGTAAGAGACTGCATCAAATACCATGCTGGAGTCTAGATATGATAGGAATTGATAGATATAATCTTATTTAGTTTTGTGAAGCTAATGAAAAATAAGCTAATTATATCTGTCCAAACTGCTTAGATTTCCTTTTGTAGATGAATATATCATTAAAGAGAACTGTCTTCTAGAATGCTTGCAACACTACTAATATTGAGTCAACAGCTGAAAAGGTTTGCACAAAAGTAAATTGTTAAGGAACATTTAACTTCAAACTATTTACATGTTTAGAGGAAAGAATCTTTTTTAAGTTAAATTGTTATTTGTCCTAAATGACTATGCTGCAGGAGCCTGTAGTATTAGTAACAATAAAAACCAGGATTAAGAAACAATGCATGGTCTTTCAGTGCAGCAAAATCCTGTCATTCCTTTTCTTTGAAGCTTTAACTACTTTGTAGTCACTGGATTAGAAGACTTGAGTACTTGCATACTTTCCAGACATGCTGAGCCTAATGACAACTTCCTTTACAAAGTAACAGCCCCTGTGAAGATAAACAAGCCTAAATAGTAAGCCATCCTTTACACAGGGAGCACAGTTACAAGAATATTACAAACTAAATGAAATGTAAGCAGCATTTCTTCCCTGTTAAGAGAAACATCATACCACAGTTCTACAAACATACTAAGCTGATGCATAACAACCATAGGTGACTTGCTTTATTTGATATGTGCTATGCACACAATTTACAAACTAAAAAGGGTACTCTGAAAAAAGAACTTGAGTACTGAGAAAGTTGTTTCCAACATATACAGATGCTAAATGCATCTGACAATCATTTTAACTGATTACAGTATTTCACTTGATAAAAGAGGTTCTGTGAATATACAGCCTGAAAAAAAACCATTAACAAATCTTTACTTAAAATTCATGTAATTATCAAGGGAGTCTCAATGCATATTGCAACAAAACCCTTTAACACAAAACTCAAGTCATCTGAAGAAGTGGGCTGTGCCCACAAAAGCTCATGATACCATCTACATGTTTTGTTAGTCTATAAAGTGCTACCAGACCATTTGTTTTTTTTAAGTTTATGCTAAGACTGTTAGTTTTGTAATTAATAAACAAGTACATTTCCATACAAATGACAATACTCAATACTATTAACACCTTGCCCAAAAGTGCAGTGAATTTACAAAGAGATCATCTTTCCTGCAAACAACTGCAAGCTCACTAAATAGGATTAATTCATCCAGCCTGTCAATCTACCTCTTTCACCCCATGAAGTTGCATTTCTGTGCTGTTTACAGCAGAAAAAGAGATTATGAAGAAAAGCCTTTGTTATGGAATTGCTATTAACAAAATCAAGGCAATCGGGGGAGGAGGAGAAGTTTCAGTGGAACCTTATTTACCTTTTGACTCAAAAATAAACCGAACTGCTATACAACTGGCATTGTAATTATAACAAAAAAGACTTGTGTCATGTACATGGAAAAAAGCTCACCACAGACATGCCCTGTATTTAGTAAAATGTATTACAGTACTAATTGTATTAAGATTCTTCCAATTTTCAGAGCTGCATGGGAATTTTGCCAAATAACCTACATTGACTCATGGGGACTCTCTAGTCAAGGAAGGGAAGGGGTTAGTAGCTAAATCTAATAGAACTTTAAAAATTCAAGGTTCTTACTACATCTAGTAATATATTCAAAGGCATTTAGATGTAATCTGCACTGTAACAACTTTAATAATGTTGTACTTAAAAGAAATGAACGTGTTCTCTTCATTAGTAGAGTTTTATAAAGCACCTACAGTTTTATAAAGCACAGTATTTGTAAAATCGTAACATATTTGAGTTTTGATTTTTCTACAAGTAGGTTTTTTGTTCATTGGGGAAAAATGTCCTGAGTCTTTCTAAGGCACATAAATGGTTATATAGATTCATTAAAATGTGCAGTTCTTGCATGTAACATTAAATAAATAACATTTTGATGGTTTGATATGCTGAACATTATTTAATAGTATAATACGTGTTTTGTTTATCTGAATTTACCACACTCTTCATGTTACTGCCTATGTACTTGACTATTCAATACAGGGAAACAAAAATGTGAGATTTATAAACCTAAATTCATATTCCTAAATATGAAGGAACCTAAATTCTGTATTTCTAGAATATGAAAGCTACCTGTGCTTCATCAGTTCTGGCAAACTGTCTTCCTAATTTTTACTGTATAATAACGTCTCATTGAGGAATAGGTCAGGATTTGAATAAAATGTGTTTAAAATAATTATTGAAAAGATAAATATTATTTAGATTGTAGAAAACTAAAACATGATTTAAGCCTACTGTAAATGAACAACAAAAATAGGAATAAGAATAAAATACTCAATAGTACAAATCAGAATGGCATACGTCCTGATAAGAGTTCAGATTATACCTATTCTCTAATTACATACATACTAATTTATCAGATTACTTTATGTTTCCACCAACCTAGCTAAAGGAAAAGTAAACTGAGGAGGAAAACTCTCCCAACATTTTTAATTGCAGTTTTTTGATTTAATTCTATATTTAGGACCATTCAACCACAACCACTTTGTATTGCCTCTAAGGGAAACTACAGTAATAAAACTAGTTCTTTCTTTCTTTTTCTCTTCAGCATCTGAGGAAGAGAGTTGTAGCTCACGAAATCTTATGCTCCAATACCCTAATAAATGTGTTAGTCTTTAAAGTGCCACCCAACTCCTTGTTGTTTTTGCTGAAACAAACTAACACAGCTACCTCTCTGAAAACTAGTATTGCATTACAATCTCAGAACAAAATTAAGACTGTGTATGCATAGTTTATATCATTTTACAGGGATTCCTTAGTATATTTTGTCTTATACTCATTGTTTTTTGTCCCCACAAAAAAGACATTCCAGTACTAACTCCCAGTAGAGACAACTGCTAGTCACAGGAGATGCAGAGAACTTACATCTGAGACTGTTTGTCTGTCTTTGTTTTTGCAGTCAATTATGCATAGCTGTGTCACTAGCAAACGTTATGTGACTACATCCTGGGAATAATCCTTAAGGGATCACCCATCAAAGACATCTGCAGGGGAGGAGGTGGGTTCTTCTGCCAGCACTTGAAGGGAAGGAGTGAAACGGGAATGCAAGATAATCAATGAATATGCAGACTTGGTGAACAGGCAACCAAATGTTTGGAGTATTTTGTGATTTATTTGCTATTTCACTGTCAAAGACCTCAAGCGTTTTACAAGAGGGCAGAAATCATCTCACCAAAATCATATTAAGCAAGTGAGGCACCTTAGGACTTTGCCTAGTGACACTTTGTCGAAAGGGAAGGGAGGGTGGTAGGTGTACTGTCTTGTAGAGAAAACTCTGGAAATCCTGCACACCCGTCATATTGGCCCCTAAAAACAGATCCAGCTGCTTTGAGAAACAAGAAGAAAATGGTGGAGCTGGGGGGATGGTATCTCGCTGGAACGACACCATACACCTAGGGCTCGCCATCTCCACAGCAGAAGCTTTTAAAGGCGGGCACCTAGGGAACATCTGCCACCTTCTAACACTCCGCACTCTAGGGGCTTGTGAAACTACTGCCCCATACACCGAGTCCGTGGCTGCAGCTCCCTGCAGGAAAGCCAGGGCAGCAGTGCAGGGCGCTGCAATTTGTTAGCGCTGCCCCCTGGGCCTTCAAAGGGAGCAATAAAAGCCCCAAGAAAAGAAAGGCAATGGGCACTGATCCCAGAGATGTAACACGCTCTCCTCTTACCTTACCGCCTCCCCCCAAACCCCCCCCCTCATTGCTAATTCAGCAAATGGCACGACCGAAGACCCCAGAGCTGACTAACAGGAAATATAGGCATCTGTCACCTCCCGGGGAGAGGTAAATGGATTAGCGAAACCAACAAAGGGAAGAAAAACCCCTTTCAAACAGGCAACTGATTAACAAGTCCCCTCTAATCTGCAGCATCACTGTTGTTCCTTAAAAACACCATCGGGTCCCTCGTGCACGCCGCTGCAATGCAGGGAAAGCCTCCTAAAAAGAGTAGAAGATTCACTAGTCATCGGCCAACCAAGTCCCGTCGCAAAACTGACTCGGGCCAGGCCGGTTACAAACCTGACGTGCAATTGACGAGCGTCATCTCCCCAGGATCGCTAGGCAAAACAACAAAAAAATCAGCTGCAGGGGTCCATTTTCCAGCGAGTGGGTTTGAGCGAGATCAAAGTGTGTCGGGCTGACCCCCGAGGCTCCTGCTCCCCTGCCCACGCCACAGCCTCCCAGGGGAAGGGAAAAGCCAAACCTCTCCCGGTTGTTTCAAGGGGAGGGCCCCGAAGCTGAGCTGAGCGGGAGCGGGCAGGGAACAAACAGCGCAAGGCTGCAGCGTCTTTTCCAGGCACTGTAACTCTGACCCCAGAGCGCTCTATAAACCCCGGGCCGGTTTGCCCCAGCCGCAGCCAGTCCACCACGGCGCGAGGTCAGATGTTAATAGGGCCAGTTTATTCAGCTCTCCAAACAATCGCAGGGCTCGGTGAACCGAGTCCGGTCGTTTCCCGATTCCCCCGGGCTGCCCCCTCGGCTCTCTGCGGCTCAGCCAGGTACGCACAGGAAATGGGACCCTCCAAAAACACACACACAGAAGGAGACTCAATTAAGCCTCCATCAACGCCAAGCATCGCTGCCCTCCGCCCCCC